GACACATTCTTTGATGGAAATGTTCGTTGTATAACCAAAAACTCCCTTCCTAATTGTCTTGTTACGGATAATGGAGCTAGTGAACCTCATTCCTATCTACACTTTGCTGGTAGTTACGACAGAGGCTCACTTGCGACCGGCCGGTAAGAGTCTCAACGCTTCTCTGAGAACATTCGTGACCAGGCCATCCGTCTTCTTACGCCCTACTTGTTACGTCAACCAGTCATCATTGGTCGGCTTCTCAAAACATGGTCCAACAGGTTGCTTACTCTACAATGAGGAAGACTGTGGAAGAAAGCCGATTTCCACTTCAGACTACCTTCGGCTTCCACATTATACGTTCTTCTAGTCCATGCTGTAACTGCACACAGCATACTACAGTCCAAGTGGACCAATTAGGTTTTGTATGCTCGTATCGAAAACCATACGCTGGTCGTACGACGAGGCGTTTGTCAAATGGAATGCGACCATCCCGAATGTCTGGGTGTTGGTTGGAATAAACCGGGCTCAAGTGCAATTGCATCACATTTGGCCTTCACTATCATACACTGCGTCATCATCATTGTCAGCTGTAATAACCGCGCACTCGTCGTACAGTGATTGTAGCCGCCACAGGTTCGTCCACCGATGATTCGCGGAGGTGGGGTAGGTAGCTGCTCATTGGAGGCAGGGGCTGATAAATTAGTGCGTAAATACAGCACTGTTGGTGGCCTGTTAAGTGGGGGGATTGGAAAAGGAGCTATGCATTGAAGGCAATAGCTTGGATACACGAGCGCCATTTAGGGCGCGACTGGGCCATGTCTGACAATGTCTCTAGCCATTAATATGGTCCGTCTCTGGGTCTTCATCCAGGAAGGCGGAGATGACCAGCGCAACTGAGTTTGCTAGTAATGGCTTTTGTACTTCGCTGCTAAGTCATTGTTTGACCACCCATGGTTCTTTTCCACTCTTCACGTGGTTGTGCGGAAGGAGCCCTTCGAGGAAGTCGGTCGACTGGCATACGCAGCACGCGGCCAAGCCATCGCAACCGATGCGGTGTGATCAGTTCATCTATCGAGGGTGAGTTATTTCTCCCAAATACCATTTGATAAACTTCAGCATTGCTGATCCGGTGTTCTCACCAGATTCGGGCTATGCTTTGAAGGCATCGATGGTCAAATACTGAAAGTCTTTTGACGCCCTCAGCGCAGAGCGGCCAGGTTTCTGATCCATATAGTAATATGGAGCGCACCGCAGCATTGTAAACTCGACCCTTGACAGAGAAGCTGATGTCACAGCTACGTCACAGGTAACGCAGGTTTAGAAAATCTGCTCTGGCCTTCCCAATCCTGATGGAAGTTTCATCTTTCATCATACACTGCGTACCTCTGAACCGATCACGGCTGGTAGGATCTAGACTACTACCGATCGCAGGGGTACTTGAAACCCGACTACTGGATCCACAAATTTGCGCCCGAAAGAAAATTTATGACCTGTGAACCTGAACTATCCCACGAAAATTTTGGTTCCGCAAGCCTGTCTGACACCGACCTGACTAAACCTGATTCCGTGACCTGTTGATCTATCCCCATTCAACCCCCTTCCTCCGATTTCTATTTCTCTAAAGTGCATGTACTCACGATTTTAACCTGTTTCACGTGATCTCCGGTACCAAATAAATTGGTGATGTATTAGCCAAGAGGGGAAATCACAGAAAACAAGCCTTGTTCGCCACCTTCATTGTTCTCATTCAGGTTTCATAGTTAAACAGCATTTGTATTAGGAATTTTCGCTCACGCTGCCGCTACACTGGGAGTTGATATGTTGTCAACGTTGAAAAAATCAGACAGCTATGCAACAATTCCCCTTTGGTCCAGCTTAGAAACTATGGTCGAAACGACAATCGACGTTCCTTTATCTGTTGTTACAATAATGCATGTTTGTCCATGAGGAGGGAGATATAAACCTTGGTCAAAAGCCTTTTGCTGACTGTCCGGTGCATTAACGCCGGCGTGCGTTATATACATTCTCGGTGGTCTTTGCTCGTCGTCCAGTTCGACGGGGAAAGTAAGTCAGCCATTTGGTCCAAGTGAGTAGGCTGCCTTCAGCAGCTTGTGGTTGGCTTACTTCAGATCGGCGGTCAACTCTAAATACCGCCCCCTCTGGGTTGACCCGCAGGTAACGTGGTGATTGCTTTGAACAGCTTAGCCATGGATTGTGGCTTGCTCATCGACACGACGAGTAATTCAGTAGGCAACCCTGGTTATTGCCACAGGTGAGCATGAAGAACGGATCCTGAGGATTTGAGGTTTATTTCCCCCACGACGTAATGTGGCCACGAAGGATTTGCCATAAGATGAACCGTTGACTCCGATGTTATGGAGAACATTATTGTGCGTACATTACTTTGTCATATCTTTATCAATCGATCTTCAAAAATCTCGCCCACATAAAGCCGTTGTTCCTTTTTGCGGCGATGATTGGAAAGGTCAGTTTCGAATCACCTTGGTTTTCCGGGTTCGATTGTATTTCGGCCAAAAATCCGATAAAATTCCCAGACCTTTGCTTGATGATGATCAAATTCACCGAGTGGTTAGATAAACAAACCGACTACTTATCAGTAGTCCCGTTGTACTGGCGCAGTCATCCGCTCTAGGATTCTGACCCAGCTCGACCAGCATCTCAGGTTTCATTTCCACTTTGAGTTGCGGAGCAAATCTGCACCAAAAGGATTCTGTGGCTGAACAGACGATTTGCCAAAAACACAATTCATGGCATTTCGCCTTGTCAATTGGAAGTTCCTGCTGTACGGCAGCACGAACCAACGGTCCTAGCGCCTAAATCCCAGAATCATAGGGAATATAGATTGCAGTCGAGATTTTGCCCCCTCACTGACGTTAGTCTGTTCTGAATTTCCGGGACGCACAGTACGATTGTTCCGTTTTCGCCAAGCTCCCTGTTGACCAGATCTTGGTTGGTAGCTGGTGAGGCTAAGGGGCTGATGAGCGGTTCCGCCTAACTCGCATTTGTATGGGGAACACCATCACAATTCGTTCAGTCACGCAGATCACACTACTGGTTCACATGTGGACTGGCTCTTTAGGTGACGAATTCTCACGCGGAAGAATCACGTGACTTGCTGTATCGATTCTCATCAAAACGGTCCGAATAAAGACTTTGTGGGCATTGGGTTGACGTAGCATTTTTGATGTTATGTCGATCACAGAAGTCACGGATCGGGTTGCCGTTTGTCGCTCGCCGGCACCTACT